TCGCTCATCAGTGTCTTTCTTAATTCAAACCGTAACACTGCTCTCTGAAAGGCTTCTCTCTTCCTTATGTTTCAGCGTCACATGATTCAAGACGGAAGTTGAATGCTTCTCCAGGCTGAGGGACAGACCACCTCAAACTACTCCTTGCAGGGTGTTGGACTGACCATATCTTCTTTGCCTCTCCACTGCTGGTGTTTCCATATTTGCATCCTTAGTATTCGACTGATGAGGCCTGTTGTGTAGGCGAAACGTTAGGGAATAAAGATACCTATTGTACATTTTACTTATCCACTTGTCGGTATTGTATACCATAGTTATATCGATATAGTCCATGGTGGGCGAAATGTCGTCTCAATAAAATGTCATAAAACTCATATTGTGTTTTATTCAGTGTCTCCGTCTTGCCCATGTCTTGGGCTGAGAGGAGTGACACGTCTTCCTTGTCTTGCGTGAGTTTTCTTTCTCCATTTTCCTTCGGAACTACCCTTTCACCCCTGGACGCAGCACACACTCTGCTCGTCGTTAATAACAACACAAACAGCTGAAGCATTTTTCCGGGCCTAAGAACCTATGTGAATAACAGTTCAAAGGAATACAACCCTCCCCACTTGCATTCAATTATTTTTTGGTGGCCATGACAATTTTTCCTCCTGTCACCAATAAATTTATATATTAGGGCGTCACTCAGTGAAATAGCTGAATAATTCTATTTAGGGATATGCTGTATAAATGCTATATATTAATTATATGAAAAAGGAACCAAGCGCTAGAGACAACCACTAAGTATACACAGCTGTCAGATTATATGAAATAATACATACTCCTTTCAGTGTGGTGTTATTTACCAAGTTACTGTGTGGGAGTTTCTCAGTTATGTGTCTGTAAGAAATGTGAGAAAACAAACTAGTGTTTCGCTAAAAAATATGAAAAAATGGGCCATATAATAATGATAATTATTATTTTGTTGTTATTATTATTATTATTATTATTATTATTATTATTATTATTATTATTATTATTATTATTATTATTATTATTATTATTATTATTATTATTATTATTAGAAGAAGAAGAAGAAGAAGAAGAAGAAGAAGAAGAAGAAGAAGAAGAAATAATAATAATAATAACAATAATGATACAATAATATTAAAATAATAATAATAATAATAATAATAATAATAATAATAATAATAATAATAATAATAATAATAATAATAATAATAATAATAATAATGTGAATGAATGGAAGAAAAAATGTAGGGTGTTTGTTAAGGCATCTGTGAGAGAAGAAAGTTTATCTACTGGGGCAAAAAAAGTAATGTAAAAAAGTATTTTGGTGCCAACAATTTTATGAGTGTGAGGTATGGGTTTTCAACGTTGCAGTGACGAGGAGGCTGGGGGCAGGCGAGATGCCATGTCTGAGGGCAATGTGCTATGTGAATATTATACAGAGAATTCAAAGTGTAGAAATAAGAACGTGTAAGATCACCCGAGATTTAATTTAGAGGGCTGAGATGTTGTTGAGGTGATTTGGGCGTTTAGAAAGCATAGAGCAGATTAAGGTGATCAGGAGGGTATATAAATTTGAGGAGGAAGGAAGAAAGGGTAGGGGTCGTTCCTGGAAGGGTTGATGGCAGAGGGGTACAGGTTCTGAATGCTTGGGGTTTCAGCATCCAGCAGGCTTGTGTCATCATGTTACATTGGAGAGAGTAAAGGCAATAGATTTTTATTGCTTGGAGTGCTTTGGAGTGCAAACAAGGTATTATATATGAAGGGATTCAGGGAAAATCGGTTAGATGGACTTGAGTCGTGGTAGCGGGAGGAAGTACAGTGTTTTCTGAAGGCAGGCTGGGAGGATGTTGCAATTCGGAGGTATATTTTGAACTGCGGTGTGTGTGCACTTCTGGCAGGACACTGAGTTGTGGTAAATGAGTCCTTTTTGGGGGGTTATCCTATCTCGGTGGGATAATAATAATCATAATAATAATAAACTTATTATTATCATTATTATTAAAAATAAAAATAATAATAAAACACTGAACAATATCCAAAAAATAACGACAGCAATAACAATAACAATGATAACAATAATAATAATAATAATAACAATAATAATAATAACAATAATAATAATAATAATAATAATAATAATAATAATAATAATAATAATAATAATAATAATAATAACTAATAATAATAACAATAATAAAAATAATAATGATAATAGGTATAACGGAAGCAATAATACAACTAATAATAATATTATTAACCATTTATTATTCTAACTCACAACGTCATTAATATTATTAAATCTAACAACAGCTGTGAGAGCCAGACGACATCATTAGCATCAGTAACAACGCTAATAACAACGCTAATAATACATTGTGCGTTATTGGTACACTTGAAACTGAATGGAACATGAAACGAGGAGCGCCCAAGGAATACTTCGACGCTTGCGGTACTGGGAAGAGTGAAGGACGTACTGGGAGGGGTGAAGGACGTACTGGGAGGGGTGAAGGACGTACAGGGAAGAGTGAAGGGCGTACTGATGGGGGTGAAAGTCGTACTGGGAGGAGTGAAGGACATACTGGGAGGAGTGAAGGACGTACTGAGAAGAGTGAAGGACGTAATGAGGGGTGAAGTCGTACTGGGAGGAGTGAAGGACGTACTGAGATGAGGCGTACTGGAGAGTGAGACGTACTGGGAGGGAGTAATGAAGGACGTACTGGGAGGAGTGAAGGACGTACTGGAAGGAGTGAAGGGCGTACTGGGAGAAGTGAAGGACGTACTGGGGGAGTAAAGGACGTGCTGGGAGGAGTGAGGACGTATTGGTGGGGGTGAAAGTCGCAATGGGAGGAGTGAAAGACGTACTGATGGGGGTTGCAAGACGTAAAGGGAGGAGTGAAAGATTTACTGATGGAGTGAAAACCGTACCAATGGGGTGAAAGACTTCCTGAGAAGAGTGAAAGGCGTACTGGGAGGAGTGAAAGGCGTACTGGGAGGAGTGAAGGACGTATTGGAAGGAGTGAAAGACGTACTGGTGGGCGTATACATACTGCGAAAAGTAGAAGACGTACTGGGAGGTGTGAAAGACGTACTGGGAGTAGTAAAACACCTACTGGTGGGAACGAAAGATGTACTGGGAGGAGTAAAAAGCATACTGGAAGGAGTGAAAGACGTACTGGTGGGGTGAAAGACGTACTAAGAGGAGTTAAAGAAGTACTGGTGGAGGTGAAAGACGTACTGAGAGGAGTGAAAGACGTACTGGGAGGTGAAAGACGTACTGAGAGGATGAAAACACGGAGTGGACGACGGGATGAAAGACACTACTGAAGGTTGAAGGAGTGAAGGACGTACTGGGATTGAAAAATCTATGGGGTGGAAAAAATACTGGAGGGTGAAAGACGTACTGGTGGGTTGAGACGTACGTAACTAATGGTGGGGACTGACATACGTAATGGGTGAACGTACTGTGATGGGACCAAGTGAAAGACTACTGCCTGAGCACAAAAGTACTGGGTGTCGTACTGGGATTGAAAATGCATTGGGGTGCAATACTTATACAAAGTTTCCATAGGTAGGTAGCTGGATGACACACCGGTAACTGGTAATGGGTTGGGTGACGCACCAGTAACTGGTAATGCGTTGGGTGACGCACCAGTAACTGGTAATGGGTTGGGTGACGCACCAGTAACTGGTAATGGGTTGGGTGACGCACCAGTAACTGGTAATGGGGCTCGGTGACGCACAGGTAACTGGTAATGGGGTTGGGTGACGCACCAGTAACTGGTAATGGGGTTGGGTGACGCACCAGTAACTGGTAATGGGGCTCGGTGACGCCCAGGTAACTGGTAATGGGACTTGGTGACGCACCAGTACTGGTAATGGGTTGGGTGACGCCACCAGTAACTGGTAATGGGCTCGGTGACGCACGGTAACTGGTAATGGGGTGGGTGACGCACCGGTGAACTGGTAATGGGGCTCGGTGGACGCACAGGTACTGGTAATGGGGTGGGTGACGACCAGTAACTGGTAATGGGGCTGGGTGACGTACAGTGTACTGGTAATGGGTTGGGTGACGTACCAGTAGTACTGGTAATGGGCTGGTGACGTACAGTAGTAACTGGTAATGGGTCTGGTGAGAACCAGGTAACTGGTAATGGGGTTGGGTGACGTACACTGTATACTGGTAATGGGCTGGTGACGTACCTGTATACTGGTAATGGGCTGGGTGACGTCACCGTGTAAATGGTAATGGGGCTGGATGACGTACCGTAGTACTGGTAATGGGGCTGGGTGAGTACCGGTGGTACTGGTAATGGGGCTGAGTGGACGTACCGTAGTACTGGTAATAGGGACTGGTGACGTACCTGTAGTACTGGTAATGGGGCTGGGTGACGTACCAGTGGTACTGGTAATGGGGCTGGATGACGTACCTGTAGTACTGGTAATGGGGCTGGGTGACGTACCGGTGGTACTGGTAATGGGGCATGTGGCGTACCGGTGGTACTGGTAATCGGGCTGGGTGACGTACCAGTAGTGCTGGTAATGGGGCTGGGTGACGTACATGTAGTACTGGTAATGGGGCTGGGTGACGTACCAGTAGTACTGGTAATAGGGCTGGGTGACGTACCAGTAGTACTAGTAATGGGGCTAGGTGAGATACCAGTGGTACTGGTAATCGGGTGGGGTGACGTACCAGTAGTACTGGTAATGGGACTGGGTGACGTACCTGTAGTACTGGTAATGGGGCTGGGTGACGTACCTGTAGGTACTGGTAATGGGGCTGGGTGACGTACCAGTAGTACTGGTAATGGGGCTGGGTGACGTACCTGTATGACTGGTAATGGGGCTGAGTGACGTACCTGTAGTACTGGTAATGGGACTGAGTGACGTACCTGTAGTACTGGTAATGGGGCTGGGTGACGTACCTGTAGTACTGGTAATGGGGCTGGGTGACGTACCAGTAGTACTGGTAATAGGGCTGGGTGACGTACCTGTAGTACTGGTAATGGGGCTGGGTGACGTGTAGGTCCATGGGCATGGTGGGGTGAGGCAGGTGGTGGGGGGCGTATCCTGGGGTCGCCTCCCCCCCCTGCATCATGCTCAGCGGCCAGAAGGGGTCCATGGTACCCCACCCCTGCACCCCTCCTCCCCCCGGGGCCCCCCCGCGCGGGTTGCCCGCCACCGTGCCGGTGGGTTTTCTCTTATTTTTCCCCCCAAACACTTCACGGAGCGGCGGTCACTTGCGGTCAGCGGCCGCCACTACGACACTCGCGCGGCGGCGGCGGTCATCCACTGCTGCTGGGAGGCACTGCGGGAACCACTAAGACACAGCGCTGGGGTGGCACTTACGGGGAGGATAAACACACGTGGGCGCCAGTGGGGAAGCCGACTACGTGTGTGTGTCACATGACGTTTGCACCGGGTTCGTGTGTGCACTGGGGAGCGGCGTGGGCCTGCGGCTGCCGCAGCCATGAGCAGGGGCGGGACCGCCGCACGCCCCGCCCCCGTCCTCCACACCTCATTGAGTCCCTTACCACGGAGCTCCGCCCCCCTAAAGAGGATTCACCAATCAGCGGGCATCGTGGCGCTAACCGCTGGACGTCTCGGCGCCCCCCCCCCCTCGAGGAGCAGTAAGGGGGCGGAGACCCCGGGTGAGGAGCGTGTGAGGGCTTCTGTTGCAGCAATCAAACACAATTACAGCTAAAAATGGCACTACATGTTGCATGAAGTGCTTCCTGGCAAAGAAGGCACTCAATGTGGCCCCTCCCACCCCCAAGGGTGCCACTTGGCATATACCACAGGTGGTTAACATGTAAACACTCCCATGTCTGTTAATATTAGAATGAACTTGAATGACAGACGTCACATATGTAATTAATGTGTGCCTACAATAAGCATATATTAGTGTAGATAATGTAGATTTTTCAAACATTAAACTATAAAATTCTTTTTTGCCTCAGTGATAGGTAACACGCTTCACTGTAACGAATATCTTAGTACTCAACTCAGTGAGAATGTCTTAGTGTAAACCAAAATACTGAAAACACTGCATTCATTTACAAAGCTAGGTCTCAAACAGGGATGAAGTAAGTGCAGCTGTCTCCCATCTTCAGGATGTCCGGAAAGTCTAGAATATGCAGTAAACTATTTCACTCTTACGCGTTCTTTCCCATTGGTTGAGAGGCCGTCGTCCCCTGGGCAAGGAGTGCATCCAGGTTCTTGAAGGAGCTAGGCATAAGACTCCTCATGGAAACTAAGAATTCCAAATCCTTCGACAAATGCGACCATGGTGTAAACAGGGCGCAAATGCGTGCGAGAGGAATAACTAGGAAAAAAGGGGCAGTTGGGTAATTAACTTCCTTACAAATAGAACCCAAAGAGTAATAGTAAACTGAGTGAGGACTACCACAGTGGAAAGCTCTGTTCCTCAAGGCACAGTACTCGCCCCACCGCTTTCTTATTCTCATATCCATCACAGACAGGAGCACAAATCATATCACCTTTTCATCATTTGCTTACGATACCAGAATGTATATAAGAGTGGCAACCATCAAGGACGAAACAACCTTCAAGCTGATATAATAAGTTTTCCAGTGGACCGTTGTCAGTGGTGTTCAGCAATGACAAATTTCAGTTACTCCGCTATGGAACTGAAGACTGAAATAGATTCCAAGACAAACTTGAATCATTGAATAAAGCGGAGGTTCAGTGTCTACCTGCTACCTGGAGTCTACCTGGAGGGCATTCCGGGGATCAACGTCCCCGCGGCCCGGTCCACGACCAGGCCTCCCGGTGGATCAGGGCCTGATCAACGAGGCTGTTACTGCTGGCAGCACGTAATCCAACGTACGAACCACAGCCCGGCTGATCCGGCACCGTCTTAAGGTATTTGTCCAGCTCCCTCTTGAAGGCAACCAGGGGTCTTCCCGTAATGCCCCTTATTGCTGGTGGGAGGCTGTTGAACAGTCTTGGGCCCAGGACACTTATTGTGTTTTCTCTTAGTGTACCAGCGACGTCCCTACTTTTCACTGGGGGTATGTTGCATCGCCTGCCAAGTCTTTTGCTTTCGTATGGAGTGATTGCTGTGTGCATATTAGGGACCAGTCCCTCCAGAATCTTCCAGGTGTACATTACGATATATCTCTCTCGCCTGCGCTCTAGTGAGTACAAGTCAAGTGCTTCCAGGCGCTCCCGTAGTTAAGGTGTTTGATGGAACTTAAACGTGCAGTAAAGGTTCTCTGTACATTCTCTAGCTCTTCAATTTCACCTGCCTTGAATGGGGATGTTAATGTACAGCAGTATTCCAGCCTAGAAAGAATAAGTGATTCAATAAGGATCATCATTGGCTTAGCATCTCTTGTCTTGAATGTTCTCATTATCCATCCTATCAGTTTCCTAGCAGATGTGATAGTGGCATTGTTGTGGTCCTTGAAGGTGAGGTCTTCGGACATTACCACTCCCAGGTCCTTCACATTACTTTTCCTCTCTATTGTGTGATTGGAGTTTGTAGTATACTCAGTCCTAGTTATTATTTCCTCCAGTTTTCCATAACGGAGTAGTTGGAATTTGTCTTCATTGAACATCATATTGTTCTCTGTTGCCCATTGGAAAACTTGGTTTATATCTTCTTGGAGCTTTGTCGTGTCCTCAATGGATGACACTCTCATGCAGATCCTAATATTGTCTGCATAAGATGATACAGTGCTGTGGTTTACATCTCTGTCTATGTCTGATATGAGAGACTTTGAAGTTAAAATGTAAGAGGATCTCACATTTAAGAACCATAACAATGTGATTACAATCGCAAGAAAAAATGACAGAAAATGTCGAGATAATGATGAAACTCTTTAAGTTACTCGGTTACTTTGTGATGGAATACTGTCATATACTACCAGCCTCCCACAAGGCAGGAGAAATTTAGTAAAGTATCAGAACTAAGTCGTAATGACACGATTGCAAACAAACCAGCTGACCCAGCTGGTTTGTTTGCTGGCCAGTGGTTAACGCATCGGTCTGGAGTTCCACGATTTTCTGACAATGGGTTCAAGCCCCGACCGTAGTATGGTTTGCATCAGAACTATTGAGAATGTTTGAAGTCCCTTGAACCGTACTCCTTGGAACGTAGGCGACAGATACACCATGATACACCTAAAAAATTCTGGACAGATTATTCCTAAATTTGTACACTGAAATCACTCCTTATGAAAGCCATGGGCTTACTTAGCATGCGTTGCGAAAAGCAGAGTGCGATGAATACACTAAGAGAACTCACACTCACATCAATTGTTAGAATAATTACCAACAAACCCCTGAATGTCTTCAAAACACAACTTAATAAGTTCATCAGGTCAGTTCATCAGCCGGACTGGGGTTCATATGCTGAACGAGGTATGGCTGACACCAACAGCCCAATCGATCATGCCAGCAAGGAAGCCTGGCCTGGGACTGAGCAGTGGAGGACACCCAAAATTGAAATCGACCCCAGGTCGAGCAACTAGTTTTCAGTTCCAGCGTCTCACTGTTGTGATTCAAGAAGGTAACGCCTCTTGTACGGTATCATGGGTGAGCGTCATGGTTCCAAGAGCTGGATGATGTATTTCAGAGACATCTGTTGACGAACACATCTGTTGACGAACACATCTGTTGACGAACACATCTGTTGACGAACACATCTGTTGACGAACACATCTGTTGACGAACACATCTGTTTACATGTAACGTGTCCCTTGAAACTTACGTACAATATTTGTATCATTGTATGTGAGTTGCCACCTGATAAGCCCCGTCCTCAGCATCTTCACTTCTTAACATCAGAAGCTCAACCACCGTAAAATGTTACTGGTGCTTCCAGAAAGGAATCTGTAGAGGGTTAAAAATAAAATTTAAGACATTCTTACAGGAAGTGCCGGTTCAGTCAGGTTATGGTGGCTATACAGGCCTGTGGGCGGAGAGTAGCAACAGCCTAGTTGATCAGGTATTTACCACGAGGGTTGCACGACCTCAGCCATAGCTATAATATACTCTAATCATAGGTATTAATCATACAAATCCCCCTTATAACCTTCACCACCAGCATATATCCTTTAACACTACCATATATCCTTCAACATCCACCATATATCCTTCAACATCCACCATATATCCTTCAACACCACTATCTATCCTAGAAATATTTATTCTTCAACACCACTATATATCCTACTACACCTATATATAACTTAAAATTGATTTTATATCCTTAAACATATATGGTAAAACACACAGTATATCCTACAACAAGTCTTATATCCCAAAATACCCTGTATGTCCTAAATCACTCTAGGTATCCTAAAGCCTCCTATATATCCCAATAACCCGATATATCATTAAATATCCCTGTATCCTAAAATGCCCTCTATATCTCTCTACAGCAGTCACATAACACTCATTTGGAGTTAGAAGAGAAGACCAGAGATGGAGTACAGCCTGGAATGTGATAAAGGAGGAACATCTCTCATGTCATACATAGCGGCTTATACAACACATCTCTCATCATTCTCACGTCCAAATTATGCATACCGAAAATTATACATTATGTATGATATCCCCACGAACCGTGTATCAAAACCTACACACCGTAAATATCAAACGGTCATCCACAGAGAATTTATACGATACGATTCTTTTAACCACGTATTATACGCGTTATAAGTGATATATCATTCAAAATACATCACATGTCAGAGTTTGAAGGCAGCAGCCACCATTGTGCGCCACAAACCGCACGTCTGTCGTCTTCAATAAACATTAAACATCATATATCATAATCACGCCTCTCCTGTCAGTAATGAGACTAGGTAAATAACCCCTCGCACACACACTTTTATCTATGTACATAGATACACACTTGGTTAGTAAGTAGCGTCTTTGTGTGTGTGTGAGAGAGAGAGAGAGAGAGAGAGAGAGAGTCATAGAAGGGAAGCTGTATGAACTACCTGTGGAAGTGATGTAGCCAAAATCTATATGTAGCGTTAAGATCGGGTATGATAGGGCTCAAGAAGTCAGAGACTGGATTGCGCCTCTTGGTAAGCAGTTCCTTCTTACGAGCGCCGATGTTCTAGAAATCGAGGCTGATTGTTTAACTGCGAAGAGAACATCGATGTTTCAGAGTGATCCTAGGCGTTTTCTGGCTTATTTTGACAATTTAGCTACAATATTCGTTTGAATAACAAAAATCATTGGTATACTGTATAGAAACACATGCATTGTCATATTTATAAATCAAACTTGCTCTCTAAACTTGATTTTGGCGTCCATATAAACATGAAATGTGGGTACTAGCGTTGGCCCCTCTCGATTCTTCACGTTAAGCCGCATATGGTTACATATTCTTCAAGTCAAGTTACATATGGTTACATATTCTTCAAGTTAAGTTACATATGGTTATCTGTAAGCGCTCACCAGGTATGACAACATT